CGTTTTACATTCAGGGTAAGAGGCAGTAAAGTCTTTGTCATAGCAATGCCAAAACTCTTCTATTTTTGCTCCATAAAAGAAAATACACACAACCGAAATTTGGAGAAAAACTGTTGAGAGGATATGCAGCTTTGATGTTTTCACAGCACAAAAAAAAAGAAAAAAATGGCTGAAGCTGCAACAAAATCACTTTGCAGTTGAGCCCAGCTCAACATCAGCATGTTTTTCACAATTGCAATTGAAAGTAAACATCACAGGTAGCAGTTCTGGATTGGCTGTAGCAGATTCAGAAAACAAAACAAAACTCCTATATGGCAGCACTCATCTCAAAGAATAACACTCTTCATGTAGGAGTCTAAAGTTGAAAGGTGAAGCTAGAGTTTTAAACCAACACAATCTGAAAAACTTGGGTTCTTAGAGAGAAGGGATGGGTTTTAACTTTAAATCCTGTCCTGTGAAGCCTTTTCTGACCTCGCTTTGTTTTTCCTCCTCAGGATTCAAAGGGTTCTGAGGCAGTGTGCACACCCCCTGAAGCCTCCACTCTAAGAGAATCAGCATGTAAGTCATCTCTTCCTGTCATGTCTGCAATAATATTTTACATGACTGAAGGCGAATCACCTTAGATCAAAGTGTGATCCTTGTACAAACTGTTGCATTTACAACTCCTGCAGCTGTGAGATGCCAAACAGTTAATGTATGCACCATAAAACATTCATTTTTATTTAGTCTGAGCTCAAATCTTCAGTTTTTTTAATGAAATGTTTGTTTTTGCAGACATCAGTCGAAGACGTCTCTGTCTTGTGCGACGATGATCCGGGACTCCCAGTGAAGAAGGATTCTGGTTTCAGTCCCTTCTGCTCCAGGGCCTCTCTGAGACGGACCGGCGGCTCCAGGTAGTACTGCATGGAGAGATGAGGTCAGAACACTAGAAATGGGTCTTGGCTCAGAGGTGAGGAAGTCTAGACTTAAATTATATTACCAGTTGTACTGCATATTACATCCATGGAAAAAGAAAATGTTACCATGAACTGCAAAAACCAGGCACTTAAGACTATATTTATATATTAAAGACTTAAAAATACTATTTCTTTCAACATTATCTGGGAACCCTCTAATAACTGACAAGTGTTTAGTATGAAACCATAGATTTCTATCTTCTTAAACTCAAGTCCTTCCTCCATAATCTTATCTCGAGGTAAAATCTAGAAAAGATTTCGCTATATTTCTTTATCTCGAGATAAAGAGATAAAAATCTAGAAAAGATCTCATCTCTTTATCTCGAGATAAAGAGATAAAAATCTAGAAAAGATCTCATCTCTTTATCTCGAGATAAAGAGATAAAAATCTAGAAAAGATC